ACTTTTATATGCCAAATATGATTTTTAGGTCAAAATATGTTCAGATTTAGCATTAACTCATTTTTTATTTTTCCGGCTGTTTCCCCCTTTTCTATTACAAAGGTCCCATATAACAATAATGACATTTACGCCTGATCTATTCCATATTATTTTTAGCATACTTGTATACTGATGGTGGGATTTTTTGTGGCTAATTCAGTTCTAGTTAATAAAATTCAAATTATTTTAATAATATAGCTAATCAATTTTAATAACTGATAATTTTCATTAATATAATTTAATGAAATCACATGAAAAAAAATTATTTAAATTTTTTTAATGACAAATTTTTTAATAGAATGTGCTATATGAAAAATTTATGGTATTTTTTATACATTATATTAATTTATACTTATCATAGATTACTAAAATATTTTATATATACTTAATCCTAAAATTGTATTAAAAAATTATTTTAAATAACCTAAATGACTTCAAATGATAATGTCATGCAAGGTTATTTGTCATTTATAAAATGACTTATTTAAATGACCAAAATAATGTGATCATTCAAAAGTCATTTGAGAGTCATGTTAAAATGGTCAAATGACCTAGTTATTTGCCATCACTGCCTTAACAAACTAACAAATTTTTATCATATAATTAATAAAGTATAATCTTAAATAACATAAAAATTATATCTTTGCCAATATCTATTTCCTTAAACATAAATCATCAATCAAGATGACCTGACCCTTCAACTAAAATAAATTTGTATTTATTTCTTTCATAGTTTATAACTTAAACTTCCAGTTAGCAAATAAACTTTGTTATCCTAATGATGTAGAGTTTAGGCTTAATAGCACTGATTGGTCAATTTTTTGCCATTGATTGAGCAACAATAAAGATTGCACAATCATACTTCCTTCTTTTCATATTCATTTTCAGCCAAAAAATTATTATATTCCTTTTTAAGTTACAAATTCTTACAGCAAATAAAAGATGTCAAAATATTCAAATGCAAAGATTTAATATTTACAATCTTCTAACGTTTAATTATGCTATTATGAATTCAATTATTCCATTTATTTTCTTTTCACTGATTTATTAGTAAACGCATTAGAAGTTTTAGAAGTAGAATCTGAACCTGAGGTTGGAATAAGACTTGGTTCAACAGCTGGTTTAACAGGGTTGAAAAATGGATTATCATCCAAGATTACCGCTTTTTATCTTGAAGAAATTTCATTTAAAACCGATAAAAAGACAGAGATAGATTGCTCAAACACTGATCGACATCTTTATTCAATTGATCGTAATGCTTGTGCACCATTTCAATCACTATCAAATCACATTGAGGGAGGTGCGTGAGAACGGCCTAAGTTAGATTCATGAAATTAAACTTACTTGATATCTGTCGAAATTACCCTGAAAGTAGAAAATAAAAGATAAATATCCATAACTTTATAACCATTCAAGTTAGCAAAATATTTCTACAAGTTTCCTTAGGCATTTAAATCTTCTATGCAATTAGAATAAAGCGTTTGTTATGAATTACTTAAAAAGAACTTGAATTGATAATTTTATTAAATTAACGAAAATATGAATAAGCCCATATAAAATATTGTGTTAGCGGTGCGTGAGATTTCTACTTAAGAAAAGTTCGAACGCTGGGTTTAATTATCCATATAATAATGACATCTCATAATAACATAGTTAATCATATGATCCGTAACGCAATCCTCCATACAATATTATAAAGTTAAATACTTCGTTTCTCTTATAGAACTAGAAGACATTCCAAAGAATCTTGTATTATTAGATGTAAGTATTCATTCTGGATCTAAATTTCCTAAGTAGCTATTTCATTCTTAGCATAAGATTAACTTAACATCTTTATATAACTCGATTTAAAAAAATAATCATCAATATCTTTTCCTTTTCTAAAAGTTTGATTACATATATTTTACTTGATCCGTATAAATGGAATAAAAATAATAATTTTTACATACATAATAATACATTGCCATTTGAGACGATTTTAATTGAGAATTTTGTTTTAATTAATGTATAAAGTCCCCGGAAAAAAAACATATAGTATGCTAGTTAATATGCAAAAGTTCTAAAAATTTTCGTAGCGATTTTCCAGCAAAATTTTCAAAAAAAGAAAAACAGGCCGTATATCGACCTTTAAGATTTGACAAGTAAATAAATTATATTATATAATCAAACATTATTTTTAAAGTTTCTGGCACTTGTTTTAACGTTTGCCAAATTTTTATTAAAGGAAAACCGCGAAAGTTTCGAGGATACCAAAAGTTTTGAAGGTAATAAAAATCATAAAATCATTGAGATTTTATAATTACCCTTCAACCTTTGAAAATCCTGATTTATATCCAGATACAATTACAATTCGAGGTCAATTAATTAATTTTTAATTTGAGAAAAACTCGCGTTAATATTTCTTAACTTTATTCATTATTCCGAATCTCTTTCAAGATCTCTAAAAAAAAATGGGCGGCATGGAACTTTAATCATATGAGACCTTGGCTATTATTACGATCTAGCCAATGACTACACGTGTTAAATCTTTGCAAATTTTTGTTAAATCTTCAAAAATTGTCGAAGCTATTAAATTCGAAATGTTCGTAATCGTCGAAATCCTCAACACTGTCAAATTTCTTTCAAAAAATTCCCGCAACAACTTTGGATCGTGACACAGGAAATGAAATAAATATATCTTTGACAAACTTTTTATGCTGTATCTTATAACATTATTTTAAATGTTAGAATAGTTTAATAATCTAAATTACTTTCATTTAATTCTACTTTCAAAACAACTAAATGAGCTAAATTGTGATAATTTTAAGTTGATTCTTAGTTGTTTATTGGACATTCTTCGTCTCAAAGCAACAGATGCAAGTTAGAATATAAAAATTCTTCGTCATAATGGTTCATCGCAAAAAATTTATTTATTTTTTTTTTTTGAAAAAAAAAGAAGCGCGTAAGTACTTTAAGTTAAAGCAAAATCCTTATTTTGATTTTACTTAAACTTTATTTTATACAAGTGAATGAAGTTAAAGAATTCGTCTATAATATTTTGTATTTTTATTATTTTCTTTTTTTTGGATCACTTTCAAGTTTCAATTTATTTATTATCATTGTAATTATATCAATGGGATGCAGGGACATAAAAAAAGAAAAAAGTATCTAGTTAATTATTTGATGAAAATTATTATCTCGAGACAAATGAAACCTCAAATGAGCTTTATTAAATTTCACATTCACATATTAAAGTTTGTATAACTTTATTTACTGCAAAATGCATTAGAACGAAAATATGATTAAAATACACATTTTTCGCCTCAGTTTTACTTTACTAATATCATTTTAATGAAGATTCAATAATTTCATAATTTTCCAAAATGAAGTTTAATGATAATATATTTATTTTCACGATATTTGCAATTCTTTCGTTTGCTATATTACCAAACAAAAATTCTTTTACGTATTATGAGAACGCCAACAAGAGTAAACCACTATATTTAAAATAGTTAGTTATGATGATAACACGATTGTCCTCCGCATAATTCGCCGCGATTTATCGATACCTCGTGAAAGTGGTATAACTTTGTTCACTTCTTACGATTTATCCTGATGGAAATTTATACCAGTTCACACTAAATTAGATATTCAAGGTTTTAACTATTGTATAAAAACCAGTGTTTACGGAATTCTCATTCTATTGAAATTTATCCAATAAGAAGTAATTTTTTGTTAATTACTTACGCGGAAGTAACGGATCTAAATGATCTTTTCACTTACAATGAAATCAATGGTCATTAATTTAAATAGAAATATTTTTTTAGATTAAAGATCCGCATAACCCGGCTTGGCTTGGCATAACATTATTTCAAGCCGAGCCACTTTTATTTCGGCTCAGTTCGGCTGGGGCTATCAATCCAATTCAAGCCAAGCTAAGTCAGCTTGTAAACCGGCTCGTTCGGCTTACATTTCTTTTTCAAAACGCTCCGGAAGCGACATCCCACAAGGAAATCGCTCCGGAAGCGACATTCTAGAATGAAGTCGCTCCGGAAGCGACATCCCTGAAGGAATTGCTAAGGAAGTGATATCCTACAAGGAAATCGCTTCCAGTGCTGTTTCATTCTAGAATGTCGCTTCCGGAGCGATTTCATTCTAGAATTCACTTCCGGAGCGATTTCCTTGTGGGATGTCGCTTCCGGAGCATAAGCGAAATAAAAGCATCGAATATGCTTTATTGAAATCTTTCTTGATTTCAATTCAATAAAATTTATATTGAAATTGAAATTTGAATCATAATATCAACGTATAATGCAGTATTTAATAATAGATAAAATTTCTAAGTTTTATTGGACGTGACTCTTCAATCCACCATTACATTACACTCGCTATGAAAACATAATATAAATAATAAAAAACAACAGGAAAATAAAAATATTAAATGCTACGGCCGCGATCGAACCGAAACGTGGATAAAAATTGAAAGCAGACTTAATTAATGCTGCGGCCCGATAATTCGTCAGAAAATAAATAAATAAATAAATTAATGAAAAAATCCAAAAAGAAATTTTTTTATCCCTAAAGTTAAAATACAAAAACCACGAATCAATTGCGAAAATAAAAATAAAAATAATAAAAGATAAAGCATTAAACCCTTCGCCACAAATCTGACTCGAAGTTCTCAAAGGCGAAAAATTCTCGGACTTGAAAGAAGAATCTAGAAATGGCTAACATCTTGATTGACGCATTATTATTTATTTCTAAGCTAAAAGTAATAATATAAAAGAAATGATTAATCTTTTATATTCCCGATCTAACCAGATTTTAATAAACTTTCCTATAAAGGATTTACTATATTTAATTTTCATAAATTAACGTTGAATATTACGAATAAAAAACTAGAAGCCTATAAACGCAAATAGCAACTTTATCTCCTTTCTAACACGAATTTTTGTCAGGATATGAATCTGAAAATCAAGCAAAGGTTAGAACAAATGAAGGTTAGGTAGAGAATTATTTGCAATGCAAGTATAAACGCACCTCAATCCATTTAGTACTAGTGAAGCATTTTTTCCAATAGTATCCCAAGTGCACGTGACCATGTGAACTTTTGTGAAATTGCTAGGATTATGTTTGAAATATACAATTTGAACACCACTCTCCAACACTTTATCTGACCAATAGGGGTAGGATGCTAATGGTCACGGTCATGATCGGTCATAACTGGTCATAACCGTGACCGACCGGTTGACCGACTTACTTGAGACTGAACAACCATGTTTTATAGCAAAATTCAAAGTATGCGGGACACTCGACAAATTTTATGCCGGGTATTTGTCGGGTTGTCGGGTATCAATAACACGTTAAATATATTATTAGTGTAACTCGTGTTTTATATAAATTAGATTTTTTATACGACTATTAAAATTTTCATTGTAATACTCTTACAAAAAATGGAATTGCATGTCCTATTTGTCTTATTTGCTTAGATTGTCAAAATAATTATGGTCAAAATTGCACTTGTCAAGCAAGAGAAATGAAATGGAAAAAAAAGAAAACTGAATAGTAAATAGTGTATCATGATTGGTTATCACGTGTTTATTGATATTTTTTTGAAACTGCCGACCGACAACCCGACAAATATTCGGCATCAAATTTGCCGAGTATCCCGCATACTTTGAATTTTGCTGTAAATAGTAAAAACATTTTGTATTAAATTAATAAAATCAACATTTTATTTTAATTATTTATAAATTAAAATTTTTAAATTTTAAAAATAATTAAATTCCGCATTACTAAATAAAAATGACGAAGTAATTTTAAAAAAAAAGTCATGCCAACAAGTATTGAAGCAAGAATCAAAATTATAATATTTGACTAAATTAAAATTTCTATTAAGTCAAAACTGCTCAATTATATTATTATTAACCGGTCAGTCAACCGGTCAGTTAAAATCGGTCAGTTAACCGGTCGGTCGGTCAAAGGCCTTTGACCAACCGTTGACCAACCGTTGACCGACCGTTGACCGACCGTTGACCGACCACGACCGACCGTTACCATTCCTAAATAGAGGTAAAATTCAGCATCATCTTCACACGTAAATTTGATGACCCATGTCTCAGTCACGGAAAGACTTTTTGCATAAACAAGTACGCGATCATAATGTACATCGAGCTGTATTTTCGTTGGAGTTGCTAATAATTCGAGAAGTATTAATTGGTCATCTTAACCACTATATAAGTTATTACTGTTTATCTTTAGGTGACATTGTCCGGTAATTTCAATACCTTCCTTGGAAAGCCAGTTTACAAGAATCCTATATAACTCATTTCCATAGGTGTTTTCTCGTGGAACTCACATTTTTGTCTTGCCACTAACAAGTTCAGACGCAATTTTGAACGATCGAGATGATCCCATTTGGATTATATCTTTATCGAAGTAGCAGAGTGCCTCCTTTAAAATACATAAAATGTCCAGATCGTTGTCATTTCGCAGGGGAGCCACATTTAGTGGAGATGTTGGGTATTAATTAGGAATGATAAATTACCGGAAGAATATAAATCTATGAACGGAGAAGTGATTCTAAATATTTTGAATTTCGTAGGTCTACTTCATATATCAAGACACCTTCGGATGCCTGAAACCTGACTAATGCAAGTTCATTATAGTCATGATTCTCACGGGATTAAGGGAACCAAGAAATCTAGTACGAAGTAGATTCATGGCGTCTCAAGCATCATCCGACATTAAAGATTTGATCATTCTCGAAAATGTTGAATAATTAGAAATTTCCGTTCCCAAATTATAGATTTTGTAAAGTATCCATGATGAATATTCTCCATTAATTTCTTCAACTTCACAAGACCAGTATGTCTATTAAAAAAGAATTCACATAATTAACAATATGAACTATAAAATTACTGCATAAAAAAAAAATGCTGGCATGGGAGCCTAGGATCTTATCTAGACCATTATACATGACATTTGATCACTGAAAACAGTTGCACAGATAACATATCCGTTCGTCGATGTGTAGATATCATCTACGATCCGATCATCGTTTTTAAGCCATGGTCATTCATAAATCCTTAAAAATAAGTTTTACTTGTTCATTGGTGAAATTCGGGTTTTGCAAATGCATAGTTAATATTGAATGGTGACAGAGACCGATATGACATGTTCAAATCTAAGATGCTGAATATGCCAATTCCAATGACGGATTTTATTACATTTAAAGGTCCGGTTTAATAACACGAAGGTTAGATAAGAACAAGTTGCAGACTTTGTCGAGTCTTGATGAAAGTAAAATATCTATATCGTCAAAGAAAAGAACTATGTTCTTTCTACCCCCATTAAAATAACTCCAAATCTCTGCATTGTCCGAAAATACTTCCATTATGTCGTCAAATGTTTCCATAACAATATTATAAGATTTAAAAGATTTAGTATCCCCGAGTTCAATCTTATATTTATTAGCTAGTTGCCTCCTGATACTTCTGGCAACAATCGTCCAAAATTTATCAACACTTTCAGATAAATAGCTAAGGCATAACTATTTAGCAGAATGGAGAAACAAGAATAAGAAAATTAGTGTTCACTTCTCAAGCAACGCAATAGTAAGTAAAACTTGCGTGTACCGTGTTACATCACATATTCACCTTCACAAATTAATTCGATTAATTTTTCGTTCGTTTCGGCCCGGTCCACGAAATAGACATTTTTATTTTCCCACGGCATTATTGTACTGTTGACACTAAATTTCTTTTTATTTGGTATTGAGAATGTGCTAACTAATAAAACAAAAGTACTTGTAAGAACGAGTGCATGAAATCAAACAAATGTTTATCTTACACTCTTCCTAAAATTTTCTTTTTCCTTTGAGTCCTAAGAAGTTTAAGATGTTCAATATTAATGTCACAGTGCATGTTCGTTATTTACTATGATATAAAGCTTACTTGATGTTCAATTTCATCGTCTAAATTGGATTAAAAGACAAAGAAAAGTTAGTTGAGATAACAAAAATAGAAGACATAATATTTTTAAACATACCAGAAGACAAGAAAATTATTCTCAAAAATTCAATTTTCCCTCAGGCGTTGGAATTTATTAAGTACGCAAATCACATCATTTATTTCTTCGAGAATTTTTATAGAAATAAGCGTATAAATACAAATGATTTATTGAAAAAATTGCGCTTATAAATAAATAAACTTTGATCAAACTCATGTAAATATATAAAAATCAATTTTCACGTAATTATTTGATTAATTCGTGAGATAACCTGTGCTAGTTCTTGTGATCAATGATCTAGAGGTTGGAACCGGTTAATTTTTAACCGGTCAATTAACCGGTTAAAACGGTTAACATGTTAACCGGCTAAAGATTTTTTTTAACCGGTTAAAATAGATGAATTTAAATCTGGCCGAAATTCATTTTCCAGCCAGAATTAAGATTTTTATGATTGCAAATTATTGTCTAACTCTGGCCAAATTTACAAAGATAATTTTAACCGGTTAATTAATCGGTTAACAAATATTTTAACCGGTTATTAACCGGTTAAAGAATTTTCGGCCGGTTCAAACCTCTACAATGATCACAACTAGTTATTGCTTTTCTAACTTCAATAAAACATTTGATTTTTTTACGTTTTAATTTTAAATTTGCGAATACGTAGTATTTCAAAATTAAGTGTTCACAACCATGCCATGTTAAACTTCATTTCAATTTGAGGACATTTTATGTCCGCATGGAAGTGTTTTCTGAAACAAAATTTAGCATAAAAAAAATAAATACATATGAAGACAACTTGCATTTCTTAAGCAGTAGTTATCCTTACCTTAAAGAATCCACCATACAACTAACTTGTGCAAATTTCTCAGGCATACCCAAACCAAATTATGAAGGATTTCCTATTCGTAATAGGAGCCAACATATTTCCATCGATTCAGAATTACCAATAATATACATCCTTTCTAGAGCACGTGACAGATATCAGGTTTATCAAGACCCAGAGAAATTACGAACTAAGAAAACGACGATTCTTCACCTTGGAAATTATCAAAGCTACTTGATGATATAACGATTTTTCCGAAGCATCTCATCATCACGATAACTTTCTTCCATTTCAGCATCTCGATTACAACAAATGATTCCACGTCATTCGAATATTTAGCAGAATTGTCAATATCAATTAGATTCGGATAATAGTATGCCTAATAAAATCGGAAATTTTCTTCTCTTCTCTCTTCTCTGAATTAAAAGTTAAATTTCTCAATTATAGCTGCTGCTTATTAATTTAATGATAATTTTTCCTAAATTGAATTCATACTAAGGGACAATGTTGGATAGAAAACCATAAAGTTGGCACGAACATATTTTCTATAAATTCTTCCACCTCATAATACTACTAATGCTGAGATCTAATAACCTATAGATTCAAAGATTTTCTTTCCTCTAAAACTTTTTTCAATGTATCTTAATTTGTAAATCCGGAGGAACGGAATTCGCTGCAGCAACTTCGAGGACGAAACACTTTAATTACGGTTAACGTCTTCATGTCTTCAATTAAGATGGCGATCACTTCCACTAGAATTTATGATCATGGTAAAATGATAATTCGATTTAAAATAAATTCTTCTTTTAGGAGAATAATCTTTAAAAAATAATATTTTTTTAGGATAATGTGATAAAAATGATTTTTTAAGATATATTGTTTAAAAAGAAGTGATTCTCTTCCCCCAAAAAGTATTTATATAACATTTTCACGTGGAAACGGTAACCCTCGTACCTGGTTAAGTAATTATTTAGGTAAACAATCAAGTCAAAAAATTGCGCCGATACGAATTGGACAAATAAACTTACGTTCATGTGAAATTACCATTTAAATCAAACTGGTTACAACGAAACAATTGTCAAGATTAAAAAATTGTCTTTGTCATTTTTAGCTAGAGCTTGTAGTTCGATTTTTTGCCCCAAAATGTTTCGCCTGGAAAATTTACTTTACGATTATAATTTATTTCCCGATAAATTCGATAAATTTAATTTGATTTTTGATTTTGAATTTGTATTGATTTAATGTAGAGCGAGGCAACATTTAATTATTAGGATTCATTTTGAATTTAGATTTGTCATATTTATCTGCATTAATATGAAAGTATATTAAGATCATTTATCAATTTCTTTTATTATTAAAATGACGAAAAATAAATTCATAAAAAGAAAGGACAAAAAAATATAAGGCAATTAAAGACAATATTTTTGCAATCATAAAAATCTTAATTCTGGCCGAAAATTGAATTTGGCCAGAGGTAAATTCATCTATTTTAACCGGTTAATAAAATCATTTACCTTCCAATATTTAGCTTGTCTTTAAGGGTTTTATATAGGTGAGGGAGATAGTTTATATACAACAACTTTAAAGAAATACCTTTTACCTAAAAAGAACATATTCAGAACTTTCCGTATAATTAGAGTTTGCTTATTAATGATTCTTTTAAATTCAGTCACTATACTAACCACCAAAAAAGGATATTTCGTTACTATCGAATGAGTACAAATTATTATATATTTTCACTAGCATCGGATTTACCTTCTATAATCAAACTTTTTATTTAATACAACTCAATTTCCTTCGGAAAAATCAAATTTGATCCCACACTAATTCTAATGCAGTAGATTTATCAGCGCAGTATTTGTGTTTACTAAAATGGAAATTACAAAATCTTAACCACGTTAAAAGATATACGAGAGTTACCGTATTTTCATGTGAAACTGTCTAAACTTTAAAGTACTTTTGAGGTGGGAATCGCTTATTAAACAACAATATATGGGAAGTTTGCTAGCTCGAGAAATTTTTTAACAACATTTTGGTTTTTATTGCATTTAGTTTTGATGTTATTAGATTAAAATGTAATAAGGTTTTAATTTTAGTCACAGCGCCCGATTTTCCTAGCAATCTTCCCATATCCTTAATAAAGAATTATTTTAAATGAACATTTTATGGATTATTTTAAGAGATTAATTCCCTAATAGAAAGAATTTATTTAAAAACAACAAGATTTCTAATAAATATTGAAGGTTAACTGAAAGAAATTAAATAATAGGTTGTGAATCTAAAGAGGACTTCACCTGCAATAAACATTCAAATTTATTTTTTAAAAAAATTCGCGCGCGCATAATTTATTAGAAAATAAAATATTGCATAAGATCAAATTTCCTTTTTGACTATTGTTGTATTCAGTTCTTTCGTTTATGTATTTATAAACAATTTATAATGTAAGCAGAAGGTTTTTATGAGTAATAATTGAATAAAAATGAAGTAATATTGACAAGGATTTATTTAATATTATCAATTTAATTAATCAGTGTCGCCTCAACGTCGGCGCTCTACACTTTCGTTAAATCAATATATAAAACTAAGTAAATGCCAATTTCTAAGACCTAATTAAATAAAACTACGCAATTACGAAACTGTTACATAAAAATTGTAACATAAATTACTAATAAAATCGGAAATTAAAATAAAACAATAATTGTGTTACAAAATGCGAAATTATAAAATTAAAAGGGCGAAAATCGAAATTATCGCGAAGGTGTAAAGGGAAGATAGCAAAGGGAATGTTTTCAAAGAAATATTCTAAAGGCGAGCATGGAATATTGAGCTGTTTTAGTATTTCTGGCTCGTATTTATAAAAAATTTTTAATTAAGCCAACTGGCGTCTTGACAAACTGGCACTGTGACAAACTGGCATCTTGACAAACTGGCACCGTGACAAACTGGCAAATGATCGTTAAAGGGACTAACTGCAATTATCAAGAGCGATCTTCAAATAAAATTATTAAGATTTCGGCCAGAATTTGCATTTAATCGTAACGCTAATGAAAAATCTTGATTCAAAAATTGCAAATATATTGGTTATTTTAGATTCACTAGTAAAGTAAATTTCCAAATTTGAAAAGACAGAAAGAAGAAATGTAACCAACACGAAACTAATTTACTATTTTAAATTTCATTTTATTCCTATTGAAAATAATTTGCAAATAATAAAGATGGGTGTAGTGCTCCGAGCCGGTCGAGTTGACCCGGGTTGATCGACCCGACTCGAATTTTTTCTCGAGTCGGGTTTATCATTTTTATGACACGAGTCCTAATTCGATAAAACCCGTCGGGTCAGGGTCACGTTTT